AACATAATATTATTTAATATTTTATATTAAATAATATATATATATATATAGGGATATATATATTTACATTTTCCAGTATTATCGCTTTAAAATGATCCTCAGAATACAATTAATTGACACAATGAAAATTTCCTCGTGCGATCACCGCGTCATACGTAATGGAAAGTAATCGATAATATCCGTGATAGTCACCGAACTGACCGAACGTCAGTGAACGACGAACGTCAGTCGACATTCGACCGGCGAGGTGCCGTGCGGCGTCTGTTGAAGATTGTACTGACGTGACGTGACAAGGTTATGCGTTCACGTTGCTTATAAATATTGTAGACGCGTTATTTTCAATCGTTCTACCGCTCCACTGCAGGCTGGAAGACGCACGATGGCCGGCCGACTACTTGCTCCTTTGCTCTTCGTCGTCGCTCTTGCTGCATCGCTGCCAACTTTGGGCGATACCGCCTCAGCGCACATCCACACGCATCAACATAACAAAGCCGACAACAATGAAAGAACGGAGGACGGTGCCTTCAGCCCTCGCGACGCCGATCACTATGCGGAGGGCGAACACCACGAAGAGTTTGACCATGAAGCCATTCTAGGTATGAATGAAATTGGCTCTGGAGACTTACTAGATTTTCAAGTTTTCTAACATTTGGAACTCCTTTAACATCCTTGTGAATCTTTTATACTTGCTTCGGTTTTGTTTATGAATAATAATTATAAATTCATATCTTCCATGTACCGTTTTATCTTGTTAAAGACTGAATGTTCCTTTCATGAAAATTAGATCTTTTGTCAACAAAGAAAAATAAAAGAAATACTTTTATTGTCATCTAATTTGTTTAGGTAGATATTTATTGAGATAGATATTCATCTTGAATATTTTATTTCCTGTACATAGGGAGTGTAAAGGAAGCAGAAGAATTTGATAGACTTCCAATACAAGAATCAAAAAGAAGATTAGGAATTTTACTGACCAAAATGGATCTAAATAATGACAAATATATAGAGAGAAATGAATTGAAAGCTTGGATCTTGCGTTCGTTTAGGTAATATCAACTTGTTGAATATCATGTTTATTTGTTCAAGAACTTGAAGAATTTAGGTTAATTAATTAAACTGTTTTGTAAACAGCACACTGTCTGCAGAAGAATCTGAGGATCGTTTGGATGATGCTGATACGAATGAAGATGGTAAAGTGACTTGGGAAGAAATTTTACAAGATACTTATGGCAACGATCCTGAAGACCTGGCTCTTGATGATAAGTTAATCCAAGATGACAAGCAGACATTCGAGGCTGCAGATTTAAACAAAGATGGTTATTTAGATACAGAGGAATTCAAGGCTTATACACATCCTGAGGAGACACCTAGAATGTTTCCACTTTTGTTGAAGCAAGCCTTGGCTGACAAAGATACAGATGGAGATGGATATATTAATTTCCAGGAGTTTATTGGTGACAGAGCCAAATCAAAAGATAAGGAATGGTTGTTAACTGAAAAAGATAAATTTGATTATGAACATGACAAGAATGGAGATGGTAGACTTGATTCGGATGAAATTCTTTCTTGGCTTGTACCAAGCAATGAGTGAGTATACTATATGATATTATAAAATTTCATTATATGATTTATTGAACATGCATCTTTATTGAAATTTTATTAAAACATTTTATTAAAACATTTTATTAAAATTTCATTATTTCAATAACGATAATTTCAAATAATTATAAATCTAATTTATAAAATAATTTTTCTCTTGTATCTATAATGATAAACATTTCTTTCTCTTTGTGTATCCATATTTATGCATATCTAAATTAATAATGACAATCATATATTTTAATGTGACAAATTGCAATATTCTAACACAATTTTATATCATCAGATTATGTAATACTAGTTTTATTGAATTTCTAAAAATTCTTCTTAAAAATTTTAAGCAATTTTTGTATTGCAAATTTTATTTTACTGATATATGTGATATCATTTTTTTATATCTTTTTGTTGATGCTTGTTTCAGAGAAATAGCAAATGATGAAGTGGATCATCTATTTGTGGGTTCAGATGACGATCACGATAACAGATTATCCTTTGATGAGATCTTGGATCATCATGATGCTTTTGTAGGTAGCGAAGCAACAGATTATGGTGATCATTTGCAAGATATTGATCGTTTTAATGATGAACTTTGAGAATCAACGATTAGTTGAATTAATATTTTAAAAAATACTGTGTTATCTTTCGTAATACTCATATCAGTATGATGTGTATAATTGAAAATATTTTTAATATACTGCTCAAGAGACAATAGCACAAAATTATTTCTTTAAAAAAATTCTATATATAAATCTAAACATCAGTGTTCAAAAAAATAAAAATACTATATTTAATACGTAACATGTTTATTTAATAGTAACATGTTTATTAAACATTGAAATCATAAAATTGATTGAGAGAAATATTCAAAATCTACTAAATTTACTAAATCACATATAAATTCATTAGAAAAAAATATTCCATTAATTATTTTGAGCAGTATATTTATCAATATTTTTTTCTATCTCCCTGTTAGCCTTTATCTGTTTCATCAATTTATATATAATTAGAACAAATTTTTATTGATAATAAGTCACACACGCTTAATGAAATTTGCACATCTTGTACATTTACGACGATTCGTATAATGCTATACAAATTATCGTCTTCCACTTTTTACCAAACTTGAGTGCCATAATAGGAAATGCGAAGAAGAAAAATATATTGAGGCAACAAAAAGTCTCATATTTCTGTAATTACATATAGTGCGTCATTAAGTTTAAATTCCATCAATATCATTACACTGTACATAGTAGTGCATATACACAAAAAAAAAATATATATATAT